AAAGCACCGCATATGCACAAGCCAGTGTCAGCATAGAACCGCACAGTTCGACGGTCTCCCAATGATGATCGTGAATCAATACCGCAGATGATGAGTCAGCAGTGCAATGGCAACATACCGCATGCGATGCGAGCGCGATCCGCCAAGTTACCTGCAGCCAGCCAAGGGCGGGCACGGCAGCAGGGGTGACAGGACGCCCAGACATCATTCCAAACCAGCACAAATCCATTCAGAATCCAGCCCAAATACATCCAGAATTACGCTAAGCTCGGTCCCTTGTTCGAAAGGTCTGAGGCACCATGCCGATAGCATATTCCTAAATATAGTGTGCAAGTATACCATACAGATTATAATACTTCAGCATATATTTGATAAGCTATTGGATCGTATATTTTCAGCTGGGCCCTCCTGCAAGGGCAAGGTAGCAATCTCCCTGGGCTTTAATTTCGCCTTCCAACCTAGCCGCAAAACTCGTGGACAAACCCACGGTAAATACCAGAAAGGCAAAGAACAAACAGTGCAAACGATCGGTAGAAAAGGCTCCGATTTTCCAGACCATGAGAACCGAAAATGTTTGCATTACTTTGGGAATTTTGGAAAGCAAAATTGATATCGCGAATATACACGGTGCCTAGCATTATTTCGGGGCTATTTATGACTTCAAAATTGTGACCCCCGGAAGCAGCTGCGCCTCTGCCGGGCCACACGCAAGTGGCAAAATGGCTGCAGCAGCAGGACTGCTATGGTAAAGAATTGAAATTCGAGCTGATTAGGGCACCATCAATTTTGAGAAAACCAAATTCGTGTTTGAAAAGAAACTTCTGTCTTTTCATAATGCTTCTGTGCAAGAAGCTGTATCCAATTTATACACAATATTGTCCGATGTCCATGATGCTTGCAAAAAGCACCGTATAGTCTGATAATGCTAGTTTGTACGAAGCTATCTCGTATTTGCCAACAATGCCAAGACCCTTTTTTGAAGCTGCAAAAGGCAATTCGAACAGAAGGTCATTCAGAATATGGAGCAAATGACCGACGCAATCATAACAAGCCAGAATAAATAAGGCGCATATGTATATATATATATGTCAAAAGATGCAGGTCGAAAATAGATCAATGCAATGTTGTCAAATAAATACAAAATCTTTCAAAACATCAAAAAACAGGATAAAAAATTTATCAATGCAATGTTACCACACGGATCAATGTACCAGGATCATCCGACCATCTGGGTGTCCTGGCGTTCGACTACCCTATCTTACGTAAACAGGTCTCCAGACAGGGCATCCGTTGGAAGTGCCAGGTATGGAGCATGAGTCGTGTTTGGGAGTGATCTTTGGACAATTTTGTCGGACGCCACGACGGAAGGATGTGTGGTCGCATTCTTCGCCTGGATTTCGCAGAACAGAGCTTGTTTGGTGGCAGAGATGTTCATTGGGAGAAATTCTGGTACACATTGAGTTCAATAGGTTAAGGCTCGCCCACCCTAGGACAGAGTGGTTGATGGAGGCAGCATTCTACTCTCCCAGTCGTCCTTGGATCCCTGTGTCCAATCCCTTGGCCAAGTAGACTCAGGTGTGCAGTTTCCAGACCTGCCTGTGCTTTGGTATCCTTGGTTTGGGCAGAGGCGAAAACGACATATATTCTATCAAAGCATCAAACATAAAATTTAAATTTGCGACGCATTCACGCATATAACTATTATAAAAATTTATTATGGTAAGACATTATTTCCTTGTGCGTGCGGCCGAACGTGACAGCGGAAAGCGATAATACAAACATCCAAGAAATGCTCCATAAATATGTAAGAACGAAATGAAAAATAGTAGACCACGCGAGGTTCGAACCTACGATCGACAATGTCGAAATGTAACGGAATTGCTGCATAATAAATGCCCCAAAACAAAAATACAATATATAAAATAATTAGATTATTTCTTATATTTTAAAATCGAAAAAATAAAATAATCCAATTATTTTAAAACAAGAAAGGTCCGGACCATATACCAATTATAAAAAATAAAAATTCAAAAAACAAATATGTAAGAAATAATCCGATATTTTTCGTTATCCTATCATCGCACTTGAGCGGGGAAACACGAAAGGTAGAGACGGACCGAGTAGCTGTCGGGACCGTTTCTGGTGAGGGACTGTCTCCGGTGTTTCAGGAATGTGCCCCCTTGGTCAATCATGGATGAAACCAACAAAGCCAGAGAGCACAAGAAGGCATAAGAAGGCTCAAGAGGAACACCGTTGCGGTCAGATTGCGCCACACGGCTCTGCAGAGAGGCTGCATTGCGTCGACGCTCGTTTGTGTCTAAGTGTGAAAATAGGCGCGCGTAAAAATCGCAATGCGTAAACGCTCGCATGAGTACCAGCTATTGTCCCACAGCTGCACGCACTGTGTCAGGATTACAGGCCTGCACGCGTTGCGTCGAAGCCGCAATGACTCAATGACCAACCCCCGTGTAAGGATAGTGCTGGAGGGGTGCGGCCGGTACTGCCAGGGATAGACGTCACGCTATGTGGTGTGCTCCACGATGCGATAAGATTTCGCCACGCTAGGGTATAAAGTTGAGTCGAATGGTGTTCCGCGACGCGAGGGATTTCTCATCGATGCTCGTTGGTGTCGAGCAATATGGTCTGTGAACGCAGTACGGCTGTGTCAGGTTGCCTGGTGCGCACACGCGGCATCGAACATACATTGCGCAGGGTTCGTGTTGTATTGCGCAACCTCATGGCCAGCATCGTATTGCTCCGATTGTTAAGCGTATAACTTCATCTTATATCCAGAATTTAATAATGCTAGCGACGAGAGGAAAGGACGTCGAATCAATTGATTTATCAATCATTCATTACATAGGAACGGGAGAAGAGGGGAAGGGTAAAGAGTGTTAAAGATTAATCTCCCAATCTCTAGTCCCGAGCAAGCTCTCAACCCAATCCCTTTGCTTCGCAAATCAAACTCAAAATAGTCCTTATATAACCTTTAAATCAACAATATTGAAATTTGTAAGTCCCCGGGATAGTCCAGCACCGCGAGGCATAATAATGCTAAAGGCCATTACAAATTCCATTTAGATGAATAGATTATTTAATAATATAAATATAAATCAATATTCGCCGCAAAACAATTTCAACACATCACCCTAAGGTTACCTTTAGCAATTCATAACAATTCCTATATGTCAATTCAATATAATATTGAAATATATAAAATATAATAAATCCAATGCTTATACAGTATATCCGGTTGCATTTTAAGAATTCATTTGTTCATACGGATTTCATGGGTGATTCGTATCAATCCGTTTTAGGCGAATTGTCATCTTTGGCCTTGAAACACCAAAATATGTTTTGATACAAAATTGTGTTGGATTCTCAGCGATGTGCACAAGTAGAGTGCAAATCCCGAAAGAACACGTCTCCGTCTCGTGGTCCTTTGATTGTTTCGTTGGGAAAATGGGGCTGGCAAAAGAAATCCTCATCGGAAGCAGATCTTCCCTTGGCGTTTGAGCAGTCCAAACTGTCTGTGTTTGGGTTTCGACCTGAGTGCCACACCGCTGAGCCTTTCCATTCTTCGTAGTGACCTGTCAGGCAAATCTTTTGAGCAACACCAGAGCAAACATTCACCATGTTCGTGATATTTTCTCTAAGTTGGCCCACTCACAAACGAATCTTACTAAGTCTTACTACAATCTGCATTGACTCCCTCCTCCGCCATGCTGGTGTTCACAGCCACCACTTTGTGACCGTCAGACTCCAGTGCTGAGGACCTCAGAGCGTGGAAAGTCGGAACGGAAACGGGTCATCCAAGCGTTTGTGTTTTGTATTTTATATCTGTTCAACGATGCAATATATGTTCGTCTTTAGTAGGATGCGTGATATCATATCTGTTCTATGTCATTCTATAATATTCTATACATATATTATGTACATATATGTGGTCTGTCCAATCTGTATTTTACACTATTTGGTATAGGGCTTACAAAATTGATCAGGCTAGTGGCTACACACAAACAAAAACAAAGCACACATGGCACCCGTGTCCAATTCATGTTGCATTCCACACATCACCTCTAAGTGGCGACAAAGTAACAAAGAAAGGCCAAGAACAAGCAAAGGAGAAGCACGAAGATGAGCGAGGTTGAGTGAATGCTGGCCGTAATCATGGTGAAACCAAATGAAACAAACACACCGTCTCAAACGATTTGTGCCACACCGTCTCTCCGGTGCAACCTCAGTCTACCGAGTCCACCGCAGATCCAGCACCTTCATATGCTACTAGCAAGGTGCATCGCTAGCAAGGACGCGAACTTGTAGCTAAGTGCATAACTACTAGTTGCTAGTAGCAAGAAGCTACTAGTGACTAGTGGCGATGCACTTGTTACTTGTTACTCACCTTCGCCTGACAACATCGCCCATAATTAGATTCGACACCCGGGGCAGCGGACACGATCGTCACGCGTTCCAGAGCTGATCCAAGCCCCGAGACCTGCCCCGGGAGGTGATGGCCAGCCCCGAGACGTCCCCAGCGAAAAGCAATTTGTGCGAATTGCAAAGCTGTGATCCAAAGCTGTACATGTTAAAACCTTTTTGATCCTTTTTGTGTTACAGCCAATCACTTGAAATCTCTCCGCTCGGATTGGGCGGGGCCTCGAGCTCAGCTGGAGCTGCATGGTCCGGTCGTTCGGCCTCGTCTGCGACGAGAGCGACGAGTTTGGTTGAACGCAGTGCTCGCATGGTCCACAAGAGAAACGCTATGAACTGATACAGTACACAGGTTCCTACTCCGGGCCACGCGAAAAGCCAGCCCTGTCCTGAGATATCCTGAGGTGAGCATCTGAGCATCAGAGATATCCTGAGAACCATGCAATGAGCTCTCTGGCAGCGTGCACGAACCAGGCCGCAGGGCGCCGCGCGGTGATTTTCACCTCGAAATGTGTGCAAAGGACTCGTCTGTCGCCGAAGGGCTCGTTGGACCCCGGGGGTGAAGACTCTCAAGGACCACCAATGAACCGTGGTGACCGCAGGATGCTTGTGGGGATTCTCAAACAGCCCCCTAAATCGACCACTCTCAGCATCACAAAGCAGCTTACAAGCAGCACACGTTCATCTGGTGCATCCATGGCCTGCTGCACAAGCTCTGGGTACCAGCTGCGCATGAGATCAAGCGCACGACTACTGGCCAACCCTGAGGATCCAAGGACGGAGAGTGGAGAATATGATGGGTCATGGCACAGTCAACGACCCGCTGTTGAAGTCGGCAACATGTTTGACTTTTGGGGGGCATGTCAAAGAGTGCTTCTTGTCTTGATTGCAGGTTGCCATGATTTCAAAATGGTCCATGCGTTTCTGGAACTTGAATGAACTTGATACAAACACATGACACTGCGTAGCAGGAGGCCTAAGTCATCGTTCACCAGCACATCATTGAAGAAGTCCACGTTTTCCTTGTAGAAATCTATCTCACCTCCAAGTTGATGCAACAGTTGAACAGTCATGCCGTCATGATATCAATTTGAAGATTAGATTATTCACCGTCAAACGACATATTTGTGCAGTGCGAAACTCTTTGAGCATCAACGTCTGACACAATCGACACTGACTTGCTACCGACTTGTTTCCAAGTGGCTTCGCGCATTTCGAAGCCGTGTCTGAATCTTCTCCTGGGCGGAAAGCATGCCAGGGTAACTTCAGCCCTGCTGGGTCCACATGACAAGCCCGTGAATACCAAGCCATTTCCGGACCAAAAGTCACAAACCCTACAGGCCCCGAAGGGTCGCATCCGTCGAAGACAACGTCCTCGACACATGTGTCTTGCCTCGACCGGTCTACCGGCCTCGGTTTCGGTGCCCCGCGCCCGCAACCTCTTCTCCAGAGATTCCACGGAGGGCGGCGCAATGAACCTGCATGGAAGGCCGAGGTCACTGCAGCGTTGGTTGAGTTCACATGCCCGAAATGAAAACAAGAGAGGAGTGTGCACTTGATAGTGCCAGCGATGGTTTTAGATGGTTTTAGGGGGGTTCGTTTCAACATACTCCCAAATCAGGGGTTCACTCAATGAATAGTGGAGTCGTGGAGAGGACCACCAGTTTGTTGCTATGTTCAACTGTTTCCTCTCCAATAGGTTGTCAGTTGGTCCAGTGCATGCTTGTTCACCAATAATATCAAAACATTAAACAGCAAAACAGCAAACACCATCAAAAAACTTCTGGATTCTTCGGGCTTGCTCAGTTCCGAACGTGATCCTCCTAAGACACTGCCAGGATGCAAATAGTTGAAGTCACTGTGGATCTTCTTGATTTGCCTTGCTCCTTCAGTTTCAAGAATCACGTCAAAATAAATGAAAACTGCATGGTCAAAACACACCGAATATTGAGCTGCCGCTGCCCACTGAACATCCACCTCCGCTGTGAGCCGCCTTTGTTTGCATCAGCTTTCTCACTCAATCGGCCACGCTGCATTCGGCACCATTAGACAGTGCCTTTGGGCATTCCCCCATAAGTTCCTTCCTACGAACATCTCATAATGACATCTCCAAGCATGTTCTCTTCCATGAGCCTTTTGCTTTTCATTGCCGGAACATGTCACAAAAAGAACCTCCACATGTTTAGGACAAATCCTGCGCAGCGCTCCTTGCACGTCCACGTCCAAAATGCAGATCTGCCCTCGCTGCCGGACCTTCTCCACTGCCTCCTATCGGTTTACCAAGGGTAGGAAATTATAGAAAATGGTACAAAAGAAGTGGAGCTTTACACAGAAGCCCACAAAATGAATGAAGATGATAGCTCACTGAAGACTCAAAAGATCTCAAAAGACTCGACTCTAAATCAATAACTTAAAGTGCATATTCATGCGGATTCACCTCAATCATCCTCAATCGACGTTTAGCCCACTCGCCTGTGAGGTGCCGTAGAGGTTCCCGTGCACTGTGGCGTGTTCTAGGAAGCGGCCTGGGATCTTCAGTTCCTGCGAGAGTTTGCGACGTTTGCGACAGGGGCCTTCTGGCTGTTCATGGGTTTTGACTTGTCTTTCCCCAACCAATCCGGGATCAGGTTTGGGGCCTAAGGTGATACCCCTCCCCACTCTTGAGACAAAACACAACCCCTTTTTCAGTGGTGCAGTATGAGTAAGTATTTCGATAGAAGCCATGGTCGGTCGCCATGTTCGCTTTCGAATGACGTCGCAGGAGTTCACCGTTTTCCACACCAGGCCTTCTGCATGGTCTCCATGTCGACAAAATTGTAGGCTTCACCGTGAACCTCACGTTGCATGAGGTTCACTGCATGGTCATAGATGTCATGACGTGACTCCCGAAGAAACATGAAGACAAATTCTTCATTCCTCAAAGCGAGATCGACTTCGAGAACATGGAGTCAAATCGACACATTGGCCGTTCGCCCGGTTGGACAGTTCGAAGACTAAGTCATCGGTGAGCACCTTCCCCCCAATGGATCCCCCCATGGTCGAATTGTCCCCCGCTTGAGCCTTCTGGGGCCTTCTTACCTGATTCAAACCATGCCCACGTGAATTCGACCGGGAGAACCATGGAGAACCCACTCCCCAAACGCCGCCGCCCAGTGGCGCCACCGTTCGCCGTTCTCTCCCCACCCGGCCAGGCTGGGCGCGCGCCTCGCCGGGCCTTGGCTTCCTCGTGGTGTGAGAGACGGAGAATCCAAAGCGTCCTGGCACGGTCTTCGGGGATGACGGCTGGGCTGTCTGCTTTCTTGGCACGTTTTCCTTCTTTTCGATGTTGTCTTTCATCACATGACCAGACCTGACCAGTTTGCCCCAAACATACACCTGGCCTGAAAAACAATGAAACTTATCGGCGTATGCTGGTGTATGTAACGCGTAAGTTTCAACGGCTTTAAACACCAATGGCATCGATGAAAGAAACCAGAATTTCAGCAGCTACAAAAGATGGACACATTCGCATACATGGTCTCCAAAGGAGAGTGCAGCACAAACAAGTGGCAGCGCAGCTGCAGTCGCCGTCGCCTGCAAAGCCCTCACGGATCTTGGCGATGAGAGTGCCCTTGCCCACACCAGATGGCCCCACAATGACCAAAGGCCTCGGTGGACGCAAACCGCCTTGTGAGCGCCCCGGCGCCAGCGGAGCAGGATGTAGATGCCATAGAATAGCTTTGCAAGAGGCATGGGGCCCAGGTTTCGTGGCACAGCGTTTGGAAGTCGCGCAGTGCAATAGGGAGGCCCCCAAGCAATGGGGTTTAGATGGTTTTAGTCTATGTTTCTCTTTCCAGGCAGTCTTTGGGAGTCTCCGTTTGCCAGTCCAAGCTTTGTTGCTTTGGCTGAAGCGGATATGGGTTTAAATTGTGCTTTTCTTGGATGTAGTGGATGGTGGGGGGCACAAAATCTAGGAATTGAACGCATGAAAAACATGCGCATCAAAGACATATAATGAAATGGCTGAAGAGCCTGACTGAAATGGGTGATGCGGTATGACGAAAACCTGCCACATGGATATCAACAATGGTTTCGATGGGTATCTACTAAAAGACACCGGCCGTCTTGTGAGGAGCATTCCAACCTTCATTGATACTTGTTACACCTTGTCTTGTTAATTACTTGTTGTACATAGTACAAAGGGCAAGCACTTTCGGACCTTTTTGGATTTCAAATGCTTTAAGCATGGCCCATCAATGTACGACAGCACGCTGATGAACATTCTAGCGTCCTTCTCCCAAAACCCAAGTGATGTTCTTCCCACATCGAAGATCCAACAAACAAGGAAAAGTCCATCGTCGAATCATATTATCGAAATTTATCGAATTCATCATTGCACCCGAGAGACGTGGGAGCAGTTGAACGGGATGTCTTTGCCTCATTCCTTGGCATCCGAACTCGACCTCTTCTGATGGATGCCTCGTCGCGTCTCACTGAGGCATCCACAATGGGAATCGCGGCAGGACCGGTGTGGGTTCCTCGTGGCCGACGATCAAGGGAAGAAGGGAAGCGACGGCGGGTCACAAGGAGGCGTGATTGACAGGCTCCAAAAGGAAAGACAGGAGGATGCACATTCCAATGCATGTTTCAACACCAACTGTCATGAACATTCATGAACAAAAAGACTTGCATGGAATACTGCGCGACGCAATGCCCACTCATCAACCTGCAGCCCAGGATCTGTCTTGGACAAACTCACAACCGGCGGACCCTTCTCTTGCCTTAGTGTCGAAAGCTGAAGAGCAATGAACCAAGGCAGAGTCCAAGGGCTTTCCAAGGCATTCCAAGGCATCCAAGGTGCACTTCCTTGTGAATGCAATAGCCAAATCGTTTGCAAAACGCCGCATACCTGAATGGCAAAAAAAGAGATTTGCAAAACACCTCCAAGCATTGTATACAGCAATTACAAAGTTGATCAAAGTTGTAGTTGTGACAGTCGAATGCCAAGTCATGATTCCAAACCGGAGAAAAAGGCCTGGCAAACAGTTTTTCTCAGTTTAAAGCCAAGGAGCTGTTGCAACCTAAGCAGGGAAAGCTATTACAAAAGCCTGACCCTGCTAACAGTGCTGGACTCAAATGGCGCTTGACAGTGGAAAATGGGTTGAAACGGGCATGCATAGTAGAGCAACATCCTTCAGAAGTCCTGAGGACCCGACACTTCTTCGTCTTTGGTCTTCAGAAAGTTGCCAGCACTCATGCTTGTCGTCTGCTCTTTGTGGGGAATAGACCCAAGTTCGACAGCCAAAAGGGTGAGGTTGTCATCTGCCTCTCTGTCAATGCAAAAATGAAGCAAAGATTCCAAAACCACACCCAAGTCCTCCACATCGGACTTGCAAATGCGTTCCACAGCTTGCTCATTGCTGATGGTATCCCAAATACCGTCACATGCAAGGATAAGCCAATCACCTCTAGACGCTTTCCAGTGATACACCTCCGGCTCAAAGCTCACTTTGGGCCGCTGCCCGTCCTTGAAAGCAAAGGCACCCAGTGCGCGACTACATGCCAACTGCCCATCTACACGTTCCAACTCGACCGTGCCCCCGGCGGCCTCAATCCGTTTTCGCTCCGAGGGATCTGTCGGTCGATGGTCTTGAGTCACCTCCAAATGACCGTCAGCTTTCCTCCACAACATGGCACGCGAATCACCACAGCTGGCCACCAAGAGCTCCAAGGTACCATCTGTACCATCTCCATTTACTCCATTGGGCGTGTGATTGTGAAGCAGCTTCACAATTGTGGCAGTGCTTCCAGCTTCACAGCCTTTGGGTAAAGCATCCCGGAGCTCTGCATCGCAAGCTCCAAAGGCCTTCCGCACAGAGTCCGTGTCATGTTTTTGGCCTTCAGCTTTCGCCAGAAAGAGATGTAAGCGTTCAGCACAAAAGGCTGCAGCCTCATCACCGAGATGTCCGTCAAAGACTCCACAAATAGCACTCTCTTGATCAAGCAGGTGACAGTCTTCGAAGCTTTTCCGAAGACCCTGCAGGCAACCAGCTTCTGGAAACAGTGAGTTGCAGTCATCTAGGCAACATATGACCTGTAAGACCAGTCACAGTCTATGCATGCAATTATTGTCTATCCGCAAAGGAACTTAATATTGGCTCATGATGGCATAGCTGCATAGCTATTGTTGGACAACCAAACAAAATATTGATGAGTCGATGACTGCTGCCTATTGCATCCTTTTACCATCTGAACTGGATGCGCTAGAAAACCTGTCTCTGTTTATGCTTGTTTAGACTTGAGAGAGGAGGGGGGTGAACGAAAGGTAGCAGGGAATCAGGCGTAATCCGGGAGGAGGTGAGAGGCCCCCCACTTGTTTGAAGAGAAGTGAGTGAGCGTGATGAAAGAAAAACTAATGCACAAACGCTTGACAAAACCTCCAGAAGCTGTAGCGGTCTAGCGGTTTCAATACAGGTTGACGTGCCTTCAAAAGGAGTCACATATTTCTCAAGTGCAACTTCGGATTTACATAGTGACGTGCGGCGACCCTTTAAATTGCGTGGCCGCAGGCCATGCTTGCAAACAGGACGTGCTCAAAAACACTGGTATTTACGAGGTTTCGTTGCCGTCGATCCACAGCCGCGGCAAGGTCTAAGGCCACGCTTGAAGACAGGAGGAGCTGAAAACACTGGTATTTACGGTATTTTGTAGCCGTCGATCCAAAGGCGCACCACGGTTGAGCGCTGGAAAAGCGCAGAAAGCCGTGTAAATACCAGCGTTTTCTGCCGGGAAGGTGCACAAAACCCTGTAAATACCATAGTTTTGTGCAATTTTGAAGCCTCCAAAAGCCTCAAAAACCCTTTCTGACAAAATCTTTCCTGGCTTTTGGTCTTTTTTCGGTCATTTTTCTAACCGAGGCGCATCAAAAACCATCGGTTTTTGCGGTGTTTTTTGCCGGACAGCCACAAAAAACGCTGTAAAATCAATGATTTTTGGTCACTGCTGAGGACTGGAAGAGCTGAAAACACTGATATTTACAGTGTTTTCGAACGGTTGACCCCGAGGCGCGCTAGGGTGGAGTTGAAAGGGGGGGGGGGGCCCCCCCCCCCCGGCCAGCAAACGAAGATGTCGGGGACCATTTCTCCGAGAGATAGGCTGCAGCTCTGGGTTAATACATTTTTGCTAAAGCAAAAGGAAAACTCAGGTAGCGTAACCGCTACCTTTCGTGAATTGTTTAGGTATGCAATGATTTGGGATAGATGTTGATAGCCTCAAGCCTCCCTCAAATTGATGCTCCAAAACTTTACTGTAATCATGGGCAGCATGGTTGATCAGGATAAACATGCTGCTAGGAAGCTGGCTACGCAACACTGCACCTCTAGAACACAGAATAGGCATGAACAGCGGTAAACACAAACTAGAGTTCAAGGATCAGCAATCTCCATCACAAACCAAGGGAGTTATATAGTGAGTCTGCTTGGCATTTCGTTGTCAAAAGGTCTTCCCTTGCTTTGTCAGCTCCTGCATGCATGCGACTGCTGCACGGCCCAGCTTGCCGACACTGCGTTGCAGTGCCACAGCCGTCACAGGTACCGACAGTGGCATGGTGCCCAAGTGATGGCGTTGCGCTGACGGAATGTGATGGAGGTCACAATTGCTTGGAAAACACGGATACCATCTTGTTCGGGATTTGAGGTTTGCAGATTCTCCCAAACTATTGGGATGTTGTGTTTTTGTGGTCCATGGAGCTGGTTCCGCATAAGTCCCGTTCAGAGTCGCAAGGAAATGCTTCTTCAGTCTGCTGGTCTTAATATGTGCGGCCGACCATGGAGAGGTCCAAACAGGGCCCCCTCCGGTCAGACCGCAGGTGCGAAGCTTTTGGAGGTTTTGACATCGATTGAACGCTGCTGCTGGTGACCACTGCCAGCACTTGGAGCGCACTTCCCGGAAATCATCGGAAATCTCCCCCTTGCATGGGGTGCTGGTAACCTTCAACAGCAACATCTGTGACCCCTCAAAGCTTTTGTGGAGAGTGTGGGGGATGGTCAGCCATGGTCAGCCACTGGACACAAAGTTTGACTAGCTGCTAGCTTCCACTTTAACACATTGTATTTTTCTATGCAGGCCCCATAGGCTCTGTAATCAGAGAGTCTGATGCTGACTCACCTCAGAATTGACTGAATGTTCTTGCTCATGCCGGAAGACTAGCCTCAGCCAAGTCTGAGCCGAGAGCCACATCTTTGCTAAGTTCACAGCGAGCTTTTGCTACTCGTGCACCATCATGCATCACTAATGTCGACTGCTGTTAATAAAAGGCCCCTACCATATTTATATTATTTTGCTCTGTCTATAGTCAACGTCATTGCTGTAAATCTGCAACCATTCTTACAATCACCGCAATGCAAAACCAACCACTGTAGATGATACAAGAACCATTGCGAAGCGTTCTCTTTTCAGTGGCCTGTCTTTTTCGCACGACGGCTTGACCGTGGCAAATTACAAGGGGTGATGGTGACACGGGGCAAACTTGCTTTGCACGCTGGCCCGTTTCTTTTCCTCGCTTCATAGAGTCATAGAGCTTTTCTGATGATCTCATGAAATTCTGATTTCTCGTTAGGTTGAAGGCCATCGCAAATGTAGCAATGAAGTTCCCTTCCCCGGTGCGTTTGCTTCCTCCATCCTCAGTCCTCAGTCGAGCTCCGACGCCTTGAGACCTTGACACGTTCCGCGAGTGTCAAAACAGCGGAACCCGC